AGACAATCCTGGTAAAAGAACAAGGCTGGAGGGATCATGTGTACCTGACTTCAAACTAATACTACAAGGCTACAGTAACCAAACAGCATGGTACTGGTACCAAAACAGAGATATAGACCAATGGAATATACCAGAGTCCTCGAAATAATACCACACATCTACAGCCATCTGATCTTTGACAAACATGACAAAACAAGAAATGGGGAAAGGATTCCCTATTTAATAATGGTGCTGGGAAAGTTGGCTAGCCATAAGTAGAAAGCTGAAACTGGGATCCTTCCTTACTCCTTATACGAAAATTAATTCAAGAGATGAGAGACTTAAAATTAGATCTAATACCATAAAAATCCTGACTAGATAAGAATAATACTTCTGGTAAATGTGTTGGCATCGATGGATGCTCATGTCTAAAACACCAAAAGCAATGGCAAGGAAACCCAAAATTGACAAAGGGATCTAATTAAACTAAAGAGCTTCTGCACAGCAAAAGAAATTCCATCAGGAGTGAACAGGCAACCTACAGAAGTGACAGAAAATTTTGGCAATCTACTCATCTGACAAAAGGGCTAATATCCAGGACTACAAAGAACTCAAAAATTTACAAGAAAAAAGAAACAACCCATCAAAAAGTGGGCAAAGGATATGAACAGACATTTCTATAAAGAAACATGCATACAGCCACAGAGACACAATGAAAAATGCTCATCATCCACTGGCCTCAGAGAAATGCAAAATCAAAACCACAATGAGATACCATCTCACACCAGTTAGAATGGCAATCATTTAAAAAGTCAGGAAACAACACGTGCTGGAGAGAGTGTGGAGAAATAGGAACACTTTTACACTGTTGGTGGGATTGTAAAATAGTTCAACCATTATGGAAAACAGTATGGCTATTCCTCAAGGATCTAGAACTAGAAATATCAATATGACCCAGCCATCCCTTTACTGGGTATATCCCAAAGGATTATAAATCATGCTGCTATAAAGACACATGCACACGTATGTTTATTGCGGCACTATTCACAATAGCAAAGACTTGGAATCAACCCAAATGTCCATCGTGACAGACTGGATTAAGAAAATGTGGGCACATATACACCATGGAATTACTATGCAGCATAAAAAAGGATGAGTTTGTGTCCTTTGTTAGGGACATGATGAGCCGCTGGAAAACCATCATGTCTCCGCAAACTATAGCAAGAACAGAAAACCAAACACCGCATGGTTCTCACTCATAGGTGGGAATTGAACACTGAGATCACTTGGACTCTGGAAGGGGAACATCACACACTGGGGCTGATTGTGGGAGGCGGGAGGGGGAAGGGATGGCATTTGGGAGTTATACTGATGTAAATGACGAGATTGATGGGTGCTGACGAGTTGATGGGGCAGCACACCAAAGCACCAAGTATAACTATGTAACAAACCTGCACATTGTGCAATGTACCTAGAACGATAAAGTATAATAATTATAATAATAATAATAATAATAAGTAGACAGCTGTTAGCACGTAAAAAAAAAAGAATGAAAGAAGAAAGTACTAAAACTAGCTCAGGATTTGGTATGAGCAAATTTGTTATTACAACCTGACAGAGTTGAAAACATTAAAAAAATAACCATCATAAAATTTTCACCACACCTACAAGATGCATTTGTGATTTGTGGGATTATTGTGTATGGATATGTGTGTTCACTGTGTTTGTGACTATCACTTAGAAATTACTTGTGTGTCATGCCTACCATTCCTGTCTCTGCTTGTATTGTGCTAAATTGCATACCACACATAGGAGCTAAAATGATCCATTTAAAACATAAATCATGTCATGTTGCTTTCCCGCATAGACTTCAATGACATTTCACTGAACTTAGAATAAGGTGCAAACAATTATCATGGTCTACGAGAGACTATATAGTCAGACAACTACTCAAGACATTGCCTTTCTCTCCTTCCACTCTTCTCTCATTCATTTGACTTCATTAGTACTAGACATGTTGGTATTTCTTGGAAATAACAATTCTGTCCTGGCTAAGGCCCTTTTGTGCTTGGTGTTTCCTTATCCTGGAGTATCCTTTGCCCACACCTTGGTCTGAATTGCTGCCTTTCTTCATTAAGGGATCTGTCTAAATATCTCAACAGAGAGAGTGTCCCTTAATGATCCTATTTAAAGTGGCATGAGACAAGTAAAAAGTAGTCTGTGTTGTTTAAAGTGCTAGAAAATGTTGAAACTTGGTATTTTGGGGAAAAATCACTGAAGATTTTTGCCTGATACTTTTTCTCATCAGCTAGAAAAGTGGGAGAAAATAATGTATCTTCACAGAGTGCGGCAAAAATCTGAGGAAATATCTGCAGGATAATGGCTCCTTAACTGCATAACACAGTAAAGATATAAAATTCCATTTTATTGGTGATTGTAAATAATTGGGGGCAGTATTTTTTCTGACAGTGCTGATGTGGGAAAACCATATATGCAGCGCCTATATTTGTATGATGTTTGGATTTTACAGCTCACAAATATTTGTATAGTTTTCTTCAAAGTCATCCTGTGACAATAAAAAATAGTACTACCTGTATTATCATAATTTATATATGAGAAACTGAGGCCCAAAATAGTGAAATGGCTTGCATTCACAGCCTACAAGTGTTAGATTTTGCACCTTATACCAACTTTTATCACTACAAATTTAGTATTTTTTCATAGCACTGTATAACAGAAGGGGTAAATGCTAGAGAAAAATATATAAACCCAAATAGTCAATCTAATTAGATCCATGTTGAAGAATTATCTATTAATTATCTAGTAATTTTGATAAATTATCTATTAATGCATTTAAACAAATAATGAACCATTTTTCTTTGATAAATTATCTATTAACGTGTTATACAAATACTAAACCATTTCTGCTTATGCAAGGAAAGATACTTTTTCTATTGCTACAGTTATAAAAGCAAAAAGAAATTACAAAATGGTTGGAGAGAGTTAACAGTAGTTGTTGAGTTCCTGAGTTTGTCAGCACAAATGGGAGGCTTTCATAGACCTTCAAATTAACTTCCTTCATTGCCAGTTGACCGGCTGCACAAGACAGCCTGCAGATCTTCATTAATTGGATTAAACAAGCTTGCTATGTTTTTCTTTCTAGCAACACAAGCTATATAAAAATCTCCAAAGAGAATGCCCTTCTTGACAAGATTTATTCCTGACAAGCTGTCAAAGCAGCATAAAGCCAAGGCTTCAGTGAATGAATATAAATGAAGATCACCACCCTATGTACAATATCCAAGAAGGAGATGTCTCCAGGTCATAGATCCTGGAACTGTATGTTTAAGAAAGTTTTTAATCTGTTAGAATTCTAGGTATGAGAGGCATTGTGTGGCCACTCAAACCTTATTTTACAATTACAGAGGGAGCACCACACTTTAATTATGATGGTTCTAGAAGATCATTTTCATGACCACTGCTTCAAACTTTAACGTGTTATCATCAGAGAAATCAGCACAGAGCACAAAGCTTTCAGTTTAAAAATGTATGTTATGGTTTATTGTTTAAATTTTTATTAATTGCTACTATTTTCAATGTTCTGTGTTAAATTCCACAGAAGACACAGAGAAAATTATTGATTTTCTGCCCTATCATGGTTATTGTCTAGAGGATGGATGAGATATTTATGCAGATGACCAGGGGATGAAGAAGAAAGTAATCATTTCTATAAAAAAATACTAAGTTGGGGAGTTTGGGAAAATGCTTATTCTTATCATAGAGTCTGGGTTTCAGAGCTGGGTAGTTAGAGATTATTTAGTCTATTCTTCTCATTTTAGATATGAGGAAATCTAAGCCCTGGTTGGAAAAATTAGTTTTTTAGTTCATTTAGCTACTTAGTAACAGATTCAGGAGCAAAATAAGCTATCTGAGTTCCCGGTCTTCTAATATTTATAGGAATGGATGTACACAATAGTTAAGAATAATAGTTAGCCTTGGAACTCAGGAGAATCGAACACCTGGATGTATTTTATACCAGGCAGCCAACTGTTGGCCACATTCACCATTTAGAATCCTGGCTAGCTTCTCACGCCATATCCAACTATGACTTTTCCAGTGAGAGCTCTTCAGGGAAATGGGCCAGGGCTTTAAGAAAAGAAACAAACAAACAACAACAACAACAAACAATTCTAGCCTTCAACAATCTGTACAATATCTAACTCTTAAATTGCTCAAGATTCTGCCTCATCACAACTCTCTCTACAACCTTTAACACCAGTGCCTTCAACTACTGTCATTGACACAATATCCTGACCGGTCTTCATCCAGAATCCAGGTTCATACTGCCTTTTGGACAGTTACACCTTAATATCTAAATAACATATCTAAATGGAAATATAACTGTAATAAAATGGGAAACCTCTAAAGCTGAGGTCCTTACCTCTGTTGCTGTGGTATATTTCTCCTGTTCTATGCTCCCTCTCTCCATGCAATTAAACCTGCAAAATTTTAAAATCATTTGTCAATTGCGTTTCCACATTCATAAGTCATTTTCTTTCTTGCCTCCTGCTCTCTAAAAGCTTCCCTGGCTTCTCTTTTCTCTGTGCTCTACCGCTTACTAGAGCTGACAAATTTCTTAAAATCCCTGGGGGTTAGCATTTGCAATTGTAAAAGAAGGATGGTCATTTCAGTTACCTTAAAAAAGATTATTATACTGGGATCATGGGGGTTATTGGATGACTTTTTCTGCTTATTTTTCTTTTGTGTTACTTTCTACATTTTCTGTAAAGAGCATTATTTACTTTAATAATAGCCAAATAAATGCACAAAATTAAAGCAAAAAAATAATTTTTGGTGCCACTTTTGCATTTTTATTTGAAAACTATATTTTCCTATTTTAAATTCAAGCAGTAATAACTAATTATACAATGAAAAATCCCTTCATCTGTGGCAAAAACTGGTAACTATCGAGCAAAATTTTTTGCCTCTTACCATGGCACGCAACCAAATTGCCGCATTGTCAGACTCACTGGCACTTAGGTGTCACCACGTGATAGATTCCTAGCCAACAAGGAAAAGTAGTAATGTGCAACCTCCAAGCCTTCGCATAAAAATCTCCATCTGCAATTCTCCATGCTCCTTCTCCTTCTTCCAAATGAATTTTGCTATCTATGAGAACTTTGGAAGTCAGTGGGAAAAAATGTTACAAAGTCGGTCATCCTGGGTGACAACTGTACAACATAAGACACCCCCACCCTCATCATTACAATTAATGTAGAATCTCAATGAAGCGATATGTGAGCAAAAAGAGACTTCTATTGCATTTGAGCCATTATGTAATTTGGACTGTATATGTTACAGCAGTAAGCCAATTTTAAATATATCTGACTTCCCAAATTGACCACTTACAACAATCAGAATAGACTAGGTTTATTTGGTGGCAAACAAAACCCAAAATTCACAACAGTTTAAAACAGTAAAAGTTTATTTCTTGTTTCTGCAAACTTCTTGATAGTCCTGGTAACTGTCAGCCAGTTGTCCTTGTATATGAGTCAGCCATTCAAGCTGCTTTTACCCTGTGGCTCTACATTTTCAACACAAGACTCTGTGCATGCATACTGGCAGAATTTAAAAAGGGCTTTTCGTTTTTGTCAGCTCAAAAGTCAGTCGCACTCATTGTATTTGCCAGACCTAGTTTCCTGGCTTCAGTTAACTGCAAGAAGTATGGGAACTATAATCTTCTGTATGTCCAGGGAGAGAACTAGCTGTTAGTGAACACAGTCATGTCTACTACACAACTGTTATCTATTTCTAGAGAAATGAGGGTCTACTATATAGACAGTGTTTGAACTTTTGCTTTTTCATTTAACATATTTTGCAGATTAATATATAAATTATACCTTTCTAATGGCAGAATTTATTCAATATGTCACTCATTGTCGGAAATTTGACTTATTTCCAGACATTTTCTATTGCAAACAGTATTGCTGTGAACATTATTTGAGTATATACTAGAATATCTATGAGATAAATTCCTAAAAATAAAATGTCTAGGTCATATTTGCATTTTTAATTTTGATATATAGTTTTATGATACATATATGTAATTTTATCCAATGAGTTTGCATGAATTTACAGCATTGGCAACAACTTAAAAAGGAAGTTGTTTCAAGTTTGCAATGACAGTATATTATTAAAATCATGTGAGGGTATTAGGTGTAATCTGCATAGTAGCCTATCACATTCAGTCATGCGTTCTTTAACAATGGGGTGCCTTCTGCAAAGTGTGTCATTAGGTGATTTCCTCATTATGTGAACATCACAGAGTATACTTACACAAATGTAGATGGTATAGTCTACTATGCAATTAGGCTAGATGGCATAGCCTAGAGGCTACAAAACTGTATAGCACATTACTGTGCTGAATAGTGTAGGCAGCTGTTGCACAATGTAAGCATCTGTGTATCTGATCGTAGAAAATGAACAGTAAAAATACAGTGTTATACTCTTATTGGCCTGTATATGTCACCTGTCTTGACTGAAACATCCTTATGTGGTACATGATTATATTTATATTTAACAGAGTAAACGTTACTGAATATTGATTTTGTTTCTAATACTCAAATTACATAAAACATTACACACAAATATGTACCCACATTTTAATTATGTTATTAGATTTTCCTTTTAGAAGTGGAATTACCATATCTACAAGTGTGAACTATTTTAATTTTCTTGATATTTTATCCAATTGCTTTACAAAAAGGTTTTACCAATTTACACTTCCTCCAGAGTTATGTGAAGGCCCCTCTCACTTCACCTCCACCAATATTAGGTTTTATCATTTTTTAATCTTTGTAAACTAGTAAGCTGCATAAGGGCAATACCAGAAATTGACAATGCCACCTCTGTAACAACTAACTTATGGGACATTAGCATGGCAAATTCCATTATCAAGAATATTCTAAGGGGTACGTTTTCTTAGCGTTGCATTTTTTTACAATGTAGCATCTTTTGAGAGGTAGAATCACTATTCCCCAGTGGCACGTGGTTTTTGTGAACATTTCAGTCATGTTATCTTGTTACAGGAATTCTCTATTCCCCTGTTCCAACAAATACCCTAAGCTGTGCCAATTCAAGACCTTCCTTAATATTAATCTACAGAACCTGGAATAAATAAGCTGTTGCCCTTTAAGGGAAAGGGCAGTGTTGCTAAACTGAGAGGAAATACTACTGGAATGGCCAGGGGCTGTATCTTATTTAAAATATGAAGAATGAAGCTAAACACAGATAACAAAAGAGAGAGAGAAGATTTTAGCGATTCTGAGTGCATAATTCCTGCCCTAGGTGCTTTGTTTTTCTATATCTCTTGCTTTCAACTTGAAGCTATTCTTTTCTTCCCAGCCAGTGAGTTTCTTTTGTATAAATTAATTTGAGCTGAATTCTTACCTTTTGCAACTGAAATAATTCCTACTAATACACATATTAAAGCAGCACCTTTACATACTTCTCTGCTACTTTGCATTCTGATAACCAGAATGTTAGTCATCATAGACAATGTAAATCTTATTAAATTTCATAAAGAAAGCAGTATTAGATCCACAAGTGTCTCCCAAATATTCAAAGATATTTTTCAGAACTTGATATAATTTTAATATTACTGTATTGATTTGATTACAATATATTATTATAAACTGGAGATCCTTTTCTTGATATGTAATAGATGACTCCAAAACCTATTAGCTTCCAACCCTGCTGAGTACCTGTTACAGCATTTTACTCTTTCGTGTCCCTTGAAATAGGAGTCAAAGGTCTTACAAAATTGAATAGATTGTTTTAGTTCAGTTTCCTCACCTATAATAACCTCATTTGAATGACTGCTAGAATCCCTCCTTGTTCTCACATTCTAATGAATTTTATAGTAAAAACGAATCAATTTTATAGTAAATTTAACTTCAAAGTAGCAAGTCTGACCTTAATCCAGTCCAGTTTATGTTGAATAAATAAAACATTGCTTTCATTTATTCTCCTGTTGACGTAAAAATGAACTAGACACTTAACAAATCTTCTGCTTTTATTTCTTTTATACAGTCACAGTGACTTAGGTGTTTCTGAATAGCCTAGATCAATTAAAGCATTATATATCATTTGACATTTCAAAATCATTAGTTAAAAAAAGTTACATTTCTGGTGGATTGATTATTCTGTGATTATATAAGGTCTATAAAATTTGTTCCTAGTTATATTAATAAATAATTATATTTGTAGGTTTATCATAAGAACTGTAGTTCTAAATACCTTTTATTTAAATAAACTCATGATTTTTCTGAATGGCAGTTAAATAGATACGGACATCTTTTTAGAAAACTATTAAATCAAGGTTTCCTTTGGGCATGCAATTGCTTGGCCTTGATATGGATTTTTAAGTAAGCATGTTAAAACTGTGGGATTCTCTTTCTTTTCTTTATTTTTTTTATCAAATCAAGAACCCACGAAATGAAATGATGTTACAGTAGAAACTACATTTGGCAAATAGAATGAGAGTAACAGCTCCAATTTTCTACTTTTTTTTTTCTTCCACATTAACATAATTCCATTAAGAATATCTACAGAGAATTTCTGGTGTGCAAGACCATACATCAGATATTGCAGAAGATAAAAGAAATGAAACAGAAGTAACTCTATTCGAAGGTGAATGCCTTCTCCAGCAAAATGAATAAAATGCACACATGCAAAAAATTATCGTCGTTACTTACATATTTGTTGGGCATCTTTTGTCTCCAGGAAACTTACATTTTAATGAGAGAGACATACATAAAATAACTTTAAATACTGCTATGAAGAAAGTAAAACATCACAATAAAATAGACAGTAACTGGGAAGTTACTTTACGTTAGATGATCAGAGAGCTTACTGCAGCAGTAGAATATAAACTAAGACCTGGATAACAAGAAAAAGCCAGTCAGAAAGATCTGAAGAAAGTATTTCAGGATGAGTGAATAGTTCAAGGCCTTAAGGCATTAATATAACATATTACTAACAAAGGAGGCTTATGCTGAGGTGCCCTAGGACAAGAGGCCAAGAGAATTCAGAGGTGTAAGAACATAAGTAAAAGCAGATATAGGAGATTTGTGAGAAACAAATTAAACCTACCTCAAATTTGAGCGGGTTTCATTAAATGGACATGTCAAGGTCAAGGAAGAGAACCCAAGATACAAGGAAAAGCATAAACTAGGAATTTCTAACACACAGTTACTGTCTTAGATTATGTAGTGAGGTTTAATATTTACCAAAATGAAAGAGTAGCATCAGGAGGTCTTTAGTGGACTTTTCCAAAAATATCATGAAAAAACAGATACTGACTTCTTTTAGAATCTCAGAGCAAATACTTCCCCCATAATCCAAGGTATTAATACTTTAGGAAATAAATCTGATTTTAATTATTAAAACTTGAAATTACATATTTTATTCTCCTGTCCTGTGTGATTTTTTAAATATTCATTTACAAAAATCCTTCTCTAAGAATTTTCCAGGGAATAATTATAATCATTTGAGAAATAATTTGTATAATTAAGAGCTAAAAGAAACTTTAAAGCTCACCTAACCCAAAACTCTAAACTTACAGATGAAGAAGAGATCCAGAGAAGTAATCTTGCCCATTGTCACAAAAATAATTGAAGAGATAATCAAGATTTGAACCTAATTCTGCATTGATTCCCAATCCAATACTTTTTATTGTTTCCTTATTTTTCATTATGAGCATAATTACTTGTATAAACATATAACAGTAAAATTGTATATATAATGTAAAACATAGTATGTGTGTACAATGTGTGTGTGGGATAATTAAATCAAGCTATTTAACAAATATTTTTATGGTGTGAAGGTTGTTGGTCAAAGGACACAAAATTAGTCAAAGGGTACAAAGTTTCAGTGATGCAAGATAAATAAGTCCTGGAGATTTACTATACAGTATAGTGCCTATAGTTTATTTTACATTGTATACTTTCCAATTTGCTAAAGGGTGTATCTTCTGTTATCCCTTCTTATGACAGAGAAGTAACAATAAATAAAGAGGGCAGGAGGAAACTTTTGGAGGTAATGGATATGTTTATGGCATATATTATGATGATGATTTCCTGGGTGTACACTTATCTCCAAAATCTTCAAGTCATATA